AGGAACAAACTGACTAAGAGAGATACTCGAAATAAAAACTATAAATATAACTATAAAGTCTTTAGGCGTCCCCTTCGTCGTCTTCCTGCGGAACGGGCTTGAGAACAACGTCTTCCTGATCTGAAATGTTTAAATAAGGGATGAACTACACCAGTCCAGTAAAGACATCACATTATCTCACCGCCACGAAAGTAAAAGTGGGTAGAAAACAAAAATGACCAATGGAGCATAATTTATAACAAATTCATTTATAAGTAATAAAATCATTTACTGTCCACTTACCTCGGCGAAATCCATGAAAACAACATATAAAAACAATAACCTTATAATATCATGAAATCATACACACTTTATAACATAACATATATCACACCTTTATATTTCAATCATCAGGAAACAGATTTCCTCTTTTACCAGGCTACTAGTATCCTTAGGGATCCATAGGGGGTCCCCTCTACACGTGAACCATTAATATTTACAACCTGATTCCAGAGCCGTCTCCATACCCCGTCCGGTATGGGCGCCAAAACCATGAACCTCAATACCCCGTCTGGTATGAGGGTGAAACGGGCCGTCCCCATACCCTGTCCGATATGGGCACCAAAACACATAAGGTCTCCACACCCCGTCCGGTATGAGAGACCACGTTCCCGGTAGGGTTCCCTACAGACCCGGTCCGTCCACCATCTCCCAAGATATCTAGTCAGGCTGTCCACATTATCCATTTTACCATTTTTCTTGGTCTCAATCATCCAATCATACACAACATGTAAATCAATAATTGACACCAAACACAGTATCGGGTTCACCATAATACAAATCATAATAAAAGAAATCATGATTCATGTATACGAGACCATAACATAATTACATCAAACATCATACTGCATTTATTACTGAAAATTAGATCAAACAATAATAGACCAATACTGTATCAGACTCAGGCTCCATTGGCAACCTTAATCAATTATACATCTATAAAGTCACAAAATACAGTTTAATTATTTATTTATCGTTAATACCGTGATAGGAAATAGGGTGAGGGGTCCTTACTTGTGTCGGGGTCTGAATTCGACTCTATAGTGCGCCTATAGGCTGTCCCTAATTTTCCTAAATTTTTTCCGGGAAACTGAAACGCACTACCAGTACCTGCACGTGTCCCAAAAAATCCCAAATCAGACCTAGGGCCCATTTCAGCCAATATCGCAATTCCGGCATGGTGGCTCCGCCGTGTTCCGGATACCGGCGGCGATTTGCCTCGGGTTGGCTGTTTTCGGCCGAATTTGGCCACACTTGCATCGGTCCCTGCGATAAAACAACCCTAGGGCCCTCGTTGGGCCAAAAAATCACGAAAAACCGAAACTTACCGGCGGCGGTGCTCTTGGGTGCGGCGGCTCCTCCGGCGTGAGTCATGTTTTGATGTTTGGCTCCGATCAACTTGTAGAGAAAAGAACGGTGATCACAGTGGTATAAAATTTGCATCGAACGGAGGCCGGGAAGGGCCTCATCAGAGGCAAAAATCGAGGAGGGGCGCCGCGGCGCCGCTGGGCTTCGGCTGGGTTTTCCGGCAATTTGGCCGGTGGTTGGCTCTAGTTTGGCCATAGGCGGACTCAGCATTGAAAAACGAGCAAGGAGGAGAAAATTTACCTCGATCGGCGGTCGGAAACTTCCCCGGTGCGGCGGCGGGTGGCGGCGGCCGGCTCCTCCGGCGTCTGATTCTTCTTCTCCGGCGAGGCACTGGCGGCTAGGGTTTTTGTGGTCAGGTGTGGGTGGGGTTATTTATACCATTTGTCTTTTAATCTCAACCATCCATCAAGATTAAATCTGGACCGTTTGATCGTGATTTAATTGAGATTAAATTTGGGCCGTCCATCGCGATGCAATCTAGGCTGTCCGTGCTTGATTGAATATGGGCCGTCCGTGCGCACGTTTGATCCGGGCCGTCCGTGCGCGCGGGAACGGATCTGGGCCGTCCGATCGCGCGCACGCGGATCGCCCACGTGGCACGTCCCCTGGTCAGCGTTTCCTTGCCACGTGACGCGTCCTGGTTGGCCGGGGCTACTGACGGGGCTGCTGACGTGGCACAACTTTTTTAAATTGCGTTTTGACCCCCGGTTTCTGATTTTCTTTTCAAAAACACCTCTAGAATCCAAATTTTCACTTTTTTTTTTAAATCAATTTCAATTAAATCCGAATAATATTTTTACCCAATTTTATTATTATTATTTTCATGAAATTAGATTAAATAAAATCAAATTAAATTAATTAAAAATAAAAAAATTCCAATAATTACAAAATAAAATAAAAAAAATAATAACACTTGGGGTGTTACACAATATCATTTCAACTATAGTTCTATTATCATAAATGTTCAAAATCAAAATATGACAAATGACTTATTAATTACTATAATGATCTTAGGTCAAAGTAAATTATTATATATCATTATTTTAGAAAAATATTCTATTAATAATTTAAATTGATATTAACTACTAAAAATTCTCAATTAGGTGATCATATTTCTATATGCATAATTTATATATGTGATTTAATTAATTAGATCAATTAATTTTTATCTTATAAAGACCATCACATATATATTAATTTTATCAGATGATTAATTTCTTATTATAATTATTCAACGATAAAAAATATTTTATATAAAATCATAAAAATTTTTACTTTTATTATCATTTCCATATTGATATAAAGTTTTCAAATTTAATTAATAAATTTATCATATAAATTAAAAAAATAAGATAATAAATATAATAATAAAAATAATATTAATTATTATAATATTATTGCTATACATTAGAATATATTTTTTAAAAAAATATATTTGATATATTATATAAATAATTAGATTTTGAGGATAATATTATCTCTAACATATATTAAATATTTATTTATATTTTTTTAATTATATCAAATAAAAAATATTTTTTATGCACACGAATGTACTAAATTAATTATAAAATAATTATAATTTTGTTTGATGAAGAGAGTCTGAACTTGTGAGTAATCAATTACTATCCAGTTGCACTTAAAGTGGGGCCTGTAGCCTTCATCCTTGCTGATTATG